TCCCTGTGATCCATTCCCTGTGTCCTGTCCCTCCACCCCTGGTCCCCAGTCCCTCTCCAGCTCTCCTGGAGCCCCTTTGGGCCCTGCAAGGGGCTTCAAGGTCTCCCTGCAGTGAGGTGAGCACCCCCAGCTCTCCCAGCCTGGCCCCAGAGGGGCTCCAGCCCTGGAGCAGCTCCGTGGCCTCCTCTGGCCTCTCTGCAGCAGCTCCTCATCCTCCCTGTGCAGGACCCCAGCCACAAAAGAAAGGCGGGAAAAAAAGTGCAAAAATAAATACAATTTTCCCTCTTTTCCACGCAATGGAATCCAGGTGTTTGAGGTCTCCTCCAACTCTCTCTGGCTGGATTTAGGATCCCCAAATCCCTGTTTTCAACAGGCATGGGAAGCAGCTTGATCCCTTTCTCTTTTCAGCATCCCTCACACTTTGACAAATCTCCCCCCTTATCCTACATCCTTCTATCCTTCCTTTGATGGACTCAGTCTGATTAATCCAAATTTTTGTCCCAATGTCCAAAAGCCAAGTGCTGAATTTTGATGGAACCATCAGCCTTTTATCACGTCTCTGATAATATCAGGGAATGCTGATGATGCCTCATCCAAATGCTCTTGGACATCTCATTATTTGTGTGGCAATGTTCCACCTCATTCCTTTTTTTTTTTTTTCTACAGAAAATGCAGGAAAATCCCTCTTGGATGCACAGGCTGTTCAGCATCACTTTCCAGGAACCAAATTTCCCACATTTGGGGTTTGACTTCTTCCCAAAAGCACAGACCTGATGCACTGGGATTTCTGTCCTGGCCAATCCTCCCTTCAGAGCTAGATGGGAGTTTACCTCTCCCAGTGCAGGTTCTCCTTTCGGGTGGTGAATTATTCCTGGAGGAGTTTTTTTCCTCCATTTACTCTTGGGGAAGCTCTGGCTGCTCTCCAGCACTGCAGAATATTTCCTTGGAGCTGGAGCCCTCTCACAGCTTATCCCTGTTGGATCCCACAAACCTGGGGGTTTTGAGCTTTCTGTGCTCTCTGGCACTGACCCCCTGCAGAACACTGCTTTGGACCTGAGGCCTGGGAGAAGGATTCCAAATTGGAGTGATGGAGTTAAAATCACGGGTGTGCAGTGAAATTGAAGTGAGTGATTTCACATGGTGAAGGGTTTGAAACTGGAAGTTTTTATAACACAGTAATAGGTATGGGACAAGATGGAGGATTTTGGATGGTGTCTCTTTCAGTGCTCATCTTCTTCTTCATGGTTGGTCAGTCAGTGTCACACTGAGGGCCATGGGAATTTGGTTATTGGGTTAAAAGGATAAATAATATAGGTGTTAATTCTCTATTGGACTGTTTAGCTTTGAGAGACCTTGCAGCAGCTGCATCCTCCTCCATTTTCCTCACTTCTAGCAGGCAGCTGGAAGTGCTGCTGAACGCTCTGTACTTTTTGATAATTAATAAACAACCAAGCCCAAACACGAGAAAATCAGTTTCCTTCGTGTATTTTATAATCCTGGCTCTGAGCGAAGGCAGAAGAGACTGAGACGAAGCACTAATTAGGTGATGCAAAACTCCCACCACTGTTACAATCCCCACTCACTGATGTTTGGATCCTGTGGTCACATAAACCAAGTGGGAAAGGGAGCAAATCCCTCATTCCAGGAACCCTTTGGCCCTCAGTTCAGATATTCCTCATCCACGACACCTGTTCCAGATCCATGTGCTCTTCATGGCTCTGTGTGAGATGTTTTCCTTACTCAGAACTGGGCAAGAGGTGACCTGGGCTCTGTAAAACTTTTGGGCTGTGCCATGATCTTGTTTATATTTTAAGGGATGAAGAAGCACCTGCAAAACAACCAGAGCAGGAACAGGCACAGGAACAATTTTGCAACCATTTATTAGCAATAGTCAGAGAAGATACAAAATCCTATTTACAGTGAAATCATAGGAATGACAGCTCCAAAGGATTGGGATACAGAGCTGGGTGAGGCCTTGGGGTGGAGGACACGGGAGGAGGGGAGCAGCCCTCCATATCCCACCCCAAATTCTGCATTCCTCAGGAACTGCAGCTCCCGGAGCAGGACAGTGCTCAGTATCCATCAGGGCTGGCTGGGATGGGATCAGTGTGGGAAAGGGACCAGGACACATGCAAGGGACACGGGAGAGCAGCGAGTCCCCCCCACGCAGGTGCCTGGAGCGGGGTCATGCCAGGTGTTCCCTACAGGAGCAGAAAAGCCAGGATATATCAGCTGAAAGCCAGGATGCAGCAGCAGAAAAGCCAGGATGCAGCAGCAGCAAAGTTACTCCACACCAGAAGGAAAAAGAACAATTCCAGAGGGGGCTGCAGGTCCGTGTGTTCCTCCCCAGCTCCCAGCAGGGCATTTTGGAGGAGTTTTGGGACTATTTCAGAGCCAGAGCTCATCATGGAGCTCCACACTCCTCCCTCCAAGCCTGGAAAGCACAAATTCCTACAGGAGACAGCTGTGAGCAAAGAAAGGCTGCCCAGCCAGTCTGCTGAGGGCCAGGAAATTCCCTCTGGAAACTCTTATTTCATCCATTTTTAGGGTTCCTCCCGTGCCATTCCCAGCCCTACCTGCTCAGCAATCCAAGGATTTGGTTCTCCTCAGCAGGAACCAGCAGGGCATGAACTTCTGCTTTCATCACCTCATGGTGTCCCTCATGGCCACAAAGAACCTGGCTCTGGTTGGGGTTTTGTGTCTGGTTGGGGTATTTTGTGTCTGACTGGGGGTTTTTGGTCTGGTTGTGTTTCTTTTGTGTCTGATTTTTGTCTGGTTGGAGATTTTTTGGTCTGGTGGTGGGTTTTTTGTTTGGCTGGGTTTTTTTTGGTTGTGTTTTTTTTTTGTTTTTTGGGGTTTTTTTTTGTCTGGTTGGAGATTTTCTGGTCTGGTTATGGGTTTTTTTGTTTGTTTGGGGGTTTTTGGTCTGGTTGGGTTTTTTGTGTCTGACTGGGAGTTTTGGTCTCATTGGGGTTTTTTGTGTCTGACTGGGGTTTTTTTGTCTGGTTGGAGATTTTTTGGTCTGGTTGTGGGTTTTATGTTTGGGTTGGGTTCTTTTGTCTGGTTAGGGTTTTTTGTGTCTGACTGGAGGTTTTTTGTGTCTGACTGGGGGTTTTTTGTGTCTGACTGGGGGTTTTTGATCTAGCTGAGTTTTTTGGGGGCTGTTTTGGGGAGGAAGATACGGGGAAGGCATCACTCGTGCTCATTGGCACAGCCATGGAGGGGCTGGAGCATTTCCATTCCCTGCACAAGAACTTTCCCTGGCCACTGGACACGTGTGGCAGGAGGACTGGACATGTGAGGGGTAAAAGGCAGGGCAGAAGGAGCAGGAATGTGCCGTCCCAGCGTTCTGGCAGAGCCTCTCCAGCAGGGATTGCTGGAGGCAGCTCCGTGACGCACTCCGGGCATTCCCAGCGAGATGGGAGATACCGGCTCCTATCTGCAGCAAGGATCACTCCTGGAATGAGAGCAAAAGGGCCCTTATCTCCCTGGGGAGCTTTACAGCCCCAGATCAGCCAGCTGAGCCCCAAACAGGGAATGTGAGCATGGCCACGGTGGAAAGTTACCTGAGCACATCCAGAGCCACGCTGACATCCCCGTTTGGGAGAGGAGGAGTGGAAAACAGCCAGGGAGAGGGGACACTGTTGTTCCAGTGGCCTCAGTCCCTGGGAATAACCCCTCAGGAATGGTCATTTGGAGCAACCAAGACAATTCTGGGAAGGTGTCACATCCTTAGGGTGGGTCACAGGATCCCAGCCCATTTCCCACATGGAATGGCCTTCCCAGCATGGAAACTCAGCCTCCTCCATCTCTCCTCTGGCAATTTTCCTTCCCTGGGATCCCCACCCCTCCAGTGAGGAGCCACAGTCCAAAGAGAACCAGCACATGGGGAAGGGAAGGGAAGGGAAGGGAAGGGAAGGGAAGGGAAGGGAAGGGAAGGGAAGGGAAGGGAA